AACCAAGAAATATAGACAAGTATATTAGAAAATGCAAATGGGTCAGATCAAACACTTTGCCCATTTATTATCTTAAACCACTGATTATCTAAGGCCCAGCTCTGATACCATACTAGTGCATCCAACCCCAAACTAATTTAACAATAAAGATGCCTCTCAATCATACGAACCAATTTTGGGTTGCCCTAATCTTTTGATGCGGGAGACAAGCTCTCTTTGATGATACTTTCCTAATCATTCAATACTACATAAAATATTAAACCATAAAGGACACTTCAGATACTATCCACATGATTGAAAATAGATCGTTTTGGAAAAATCTTCATTAAGTAAAACTTTTGTTTGTCATCCTAAAGCACAAAAGATTAAGAGTGAATTAAAAATCACACCATTAAAGTATTGATGTGGTTTCTATTTGGTCCCTGGAGTTTTTGATTTACACAATTTAGTCCTTAAAGTATTGATTGCGTTTCAATGAGACTTTCATCCATATTCATCAAAAACACCAAATGGTTAGTCAAATTTAGGGGGGTTATTTTAGTCCAACTCTCCCATTGTCTTCACCTGCAACCAAAATCTAACTCATTTCCTTCACCTACAACCATTTCCCATACCAAAAATACAGAAAAATCAAGGGACCGTGAAAAATGCTTACACTCAATCAATGACAAATAAAAACACCAACAAATACACCTTAAAAAATGCTTACACGCAATCAATGATAAATAATACCGTTGTAATATAACTAAAATTAGTGGTGCTAAACAAAAGAGAATGGTATTACCTATCATAGACGCAGATGACAACAATACATAACATTATAACAAAATAATCCTAACCACTCATAAGCATCATTGTCAATGACTTTCAATTCCTTCATTTTTTATACCAAAGCACTTCAAATTAGTAGCCTTAGCACAATCCCAAAATGCCTTCTGTAAAACTTTTCATTTGAAAGACTCCTTATAATTGTTATAAAGATGTCCACCACATGTCATGTGCTTAAAATTGGGTAACAATGTATCAAGTGCCAATAAAAGACCCTGTAAATAAAACAAATAACAGTTAATGAATAACAGTTCATAAATCTGGGAACAATAAAATATGATGCATGCTCATAAATCAGAGACCACCAACTACAGGTTCAAAATATGTGCTGATGCTCATGAACAAAAATCAGAATATGCCTCCCACTAAAATGAATTTTGCAAAGATAAGACCATATTTTGTCGATTAAATTAGTATTTTAATAAGGAAAAATTACCTCTTGACCTACACTTCGGGATTGCCATTGTGGCGTCTCTACCTTGACCACCCTCAAAGATCTGGTCTGTTTGCTTCCAATGACTATCTTCACTGTCCAGTTCATCTTCTTCCCTCACCAATATTTTTTTGTATTGAATGGGTTAGGGCTTTTTTTACTGGTCAAATATAAGTTAAGGGTAAGGGTCAATGATATAACTATGGTTAGAGCAGTAGGAGAAGGCAATGAGAGAGTTAGACGAAAATGCCCCTCTCAATTTGATTGACCATTTGAGGTTTGTAATGAATATGGACGGAAGTCTCTCATGGAAACACAATCAATACTTTAAGGACTAAATTGTGCAAATCAAAAATCTAGGGACCAAATAGAACTGCATCAATACTTTAAGGGTGTGATTTTCAATTCACCCAAAGAATAATTAGCTAAGATGAGATATGCTTATTTAAGCAACATATTTATAAAAAATTATAGAAGTACAGTATGACAGTCTAAACCAAAAATATTAATTAGAAACTATAAAAGAAGACAATAAATATGTGGTCTAGTTCAGCAATCCCAAAATATTGTCACAACACAATAGGAGTTTGGTCACCAAGGTGGATGACCATCCACCTAATTGACCACATGTGTGGATGATCTCCACCTACACACTCAACTTTTCATCCCTTGCTCTAAAGCCGGGAACTATCTACATGATAAATAACATAACATTACGTAATTGAGTCCAATCAAAGTCCCCCTTGGTCTGGATTCTTCACAAACTTTCAATTGTATCACCATGTTTTCATTTACAAAAATAAATGAGCCACATCAGTGGATAGAAATGAATTCCATAACCCTTTTGTTACCTCACTCAAACATAATTTATATATGATACATACAGTATGACATGGGGAAATATCTTTATCATCTACTCCTTTTATATACTTGTAACTATTTTCTTGTGTAGTTTTCTATTTTGCAAAATTTTTGTCTATAAAAGTAATTAATGATCGTTATATTTCTAGGGAGAAACGTTAACAAACCCAGTGCAAGTGGGTGTATCATCCTTTCAACTTATAACCTTCAAATTGGGCAGCACAATCTAATAAGATGGAAGAAATGAATATATACATAGGGAAGAATCATGCAGATGTCCACATACGCACACATAATGATGGTGATGACAGCCATAAAAACAAGACAACAAAATGTTCAATCCATTCCAGATATAAGAAAGAAGAGAAGTCATGGCTAGTCCCAAAAAAAAAGGCATCTTACCAATAAGATGGTTGGGTTCATGAAAGGTTTCTATTAGATATTAACTTAACACAAAAACAAAATTGAACATAAATGCATAAAGTACATGGAGAGTTTAAAAGAAAGCCTAATGAGTGCAACATGCAACATTGTGCTCTCCTCTAGACAATACACATCAACTCGCACTAGGTTTGTCCGCATTCGCCCCCAAGAAACAACAATCCCCAAGGACAAATCATTGAAACTTAAAAGCATAAAAAAAAAAAAAAGTACATGGATTTTCTATTTGAGTGAAGAAGAAAATTCGAAGAAAGATACAATCTCTGGTAGGTCCTCTCCCCCTCTTGCATCGGCGGTGACAGAAACTCACTCCCGCCGAGAGCAATGATAGGCCTTATTTGGAACTGTCGTGGGCTGGAAAATCCACTGTCAGGTAGGGCTCTTCACAATTTGGCAGGAAAAAATTCCACAACTTGGTTTTTCTTATGGAAACCAAGTCATCAAGGGTTGAATTTGAAAGATTACAACATAAGGTAGGCTTGAACCAAGGATAGAGTGTGGATGCAAGAGGTAGATCAGGGATTTGGCATATTGTCGAGAAGGGGAGGTGCAAATCAAAGTGAAAAGCTACACCAACTTTCACGTAGAAACAATTGTAGATGAAGGAAATGAAAGTCAAAGGAGGTTTGTAGGTTTCTAAAGCCATCTAGAAGTTAGACAGAGGAATAAATCATGGACTTTGTTGCGAATATTGGGCTAACGCTCCTCACTACCTAGATCTGGGAAGCACGGACACTTAATTGTGAATAGAGTATCAGTGTCGAACACATCTAGGACATGGACACGCTAAAATGAGAGTCCAATTTTTTTATTGTTAAATTTTTTCGATTCATGTTGGGGGACACGTGACCGATACACTTGGGACACGTCGGGGATACATGATCGACACGTTTTGGGTTTTTTTTTCAAATTTTTAAAACTTGTCAAATAATTTTATAAATAGGAGATTTTTTTTTTTTTTGTAATGTTAAAGAGATAAGGGTCAAAAATATAGAATAAAAGAATTATAATCACTACACGAACATAGGACACCGAAATAAATATAATTTTGGACACAATTATGAAATTATATACAAATGGAATACACTTTTTATATGAAAGTAATTTGATGAAAATAGGATTATGAAATTAAGGCGATGTGAAATTAAATGAAAATAAGGATTTCGAAATAAAATATTTTTGAAAATAAAAATTTTAGTAGTCATTAATTGTTGGATCACAAATGTTTATGATGAATGTATATCAGTATATCTGGTATTTTTTTATTCAATGATATCATGAAGTGAATTGTTAAAATTAAGAAAACAATGAATTGGATGATTATCCATAAAATATATTTATTTTATCATATGATCGTATAGATATATATATGTATATAAAATATTTAGTGAGTCCCCTAATATGTTTGTGTCCTACTTTTTTTAAAAATAGAGTGTAATCGTACCCGTGTCCCAGCTTATTAGCCTTGGATTTGCGGGGGCAACTTTATTAAAATCATTTCTAATTCAGAGAAATGGGGAGAGGCACCAAAATAGCCATGTCAAATTAAGAAATAAAGGCAAATCGTTGATGATTGCCATTTTGTGGATTTGGGGTTCTCATGTAATCCTTTTAAATGGTGTAAAAGGAGTATTTATCCCAAATCTATGTCATAGACTTGATAGAAATGGACATTCCCAACTTGGTTATTGAATTTCCCTCGTAGTAAGGTGTATCATTTACTACATATCATCTTCCCACATATGAATACAACCATAGCCAATTAAAACTCAGCATAAGTACAACACTAGATGAAGTTCGAGCGGGAAAAAGACAGAAGAAGTTTTATTTTGAACTAATGTGACTCAAGGAACAACCTTGTGAAGAGGTTATTCAAAATTGCTAGAAATCAAAAGGAAATGGATCTCTATTCAGGAGTTTCGAGGACAAAACCAAATCATGCAGAGTAGGCTTGCTAAAGTGGATGACGGAAAAATTTGGTAATGTACATATGCAGCTTAAGGTGAATAGAGAAACAATGACAGCTCTACAATCAGGTCCTCTAACTAGTGCTGTGAGAATGGAGTTAAGAGAAGTACATGAGCGCAACCATTAACTCTTGGAGGAGGAAGAACCAATGTGGAAGCAAAGGGCAAAAATACACTGGTTGAAAAAGGTTGATTAGAGGCTCGTTTAGTAACGTTTACGGTTTTTTATTTTCTAAAAAACGAAAAACATCTTTTTCTCGTTTTTGAAAATTGCCTCTCGTTTACAAAACGATGACAGAAAAAAAAAATAATGGTTATCAAACGAGTTTTTTTTTCTTGTTTTTCTCTAAATATCAAAATAAAAACGAAAAACGAAAAACATAAACGTTACCAAACGGGACCTAAAAAATTAGTTTTTTTTCATGCACAGGCAAGTCTAAAACAATGGAGGAATAGAACCAAGGGGTTTGATGGATGATCGAGGATTGTGGATCACTGAGAAGTCAGGGATTGAGAAGAATGCGGTAAACTATTTCAAAGAGTTGTCCAAAACAAGTTATCCTACGCAGGGAGCTACCGAAACAGTAGTCAATCGTGTCACACAGAAGGTTACAAATGATATGAATTTGTCTCTTCTCAAGGAGTTTCAAGCCAGTGAAATAGTTGAAGCAGTAAATCATATTCATCACACAAAAGGTTACAAATGAGATGAATTTGTCTCTTCTCAAGGAGTTTCAAGCCAGTGAAATAGTTGAAGCAGTAAAGCATATTCATCCAACAAAGGCACCAATACCTGACGGAATGGGTGCAATTTTCTACCAAAATTTTTGGGATACTGTAGGGGGAGATGTAGTGCAACTTGTCCTAGAATCACTGAAGTCAAGAAACATATGACCAAAGCTTAACTACACCCCATAGTACTCATTCCAAAAGTACAAGAGCCTGTTGATATAACCCAGTTCCAGCCCATTAGTTTATGCAATGTGATATACAAGATTATCTCAAAGACGTTGGCCAATAGACTTAAGAAAATACTATTACAGTTATTTCAGAATATCAAAGCACATCTGTTCTGGGTCACTTAATCATGGACAATGTCTTAATAGCACACGAAATCAATCAGTTGTTGACGAAGAGGAAAAAGGCATGAAATGATTCATGTCTATTAACATGAGTAAAGCTTATGACCGGGTGAAATAATAGGGGTTCTTAGAAGCTATGATGAGGAAGCTTGGGTTTGACGATACACGGATACGGTTAGTGATGAATTGTGTACAATCAATGTCGTATTCTCTGGTTTTAAATGGAGAACAGATGGGATTTATCAAGCCAAAGAGGGGGTTGAGACAGGGTGACCCACTATCACCCTATTTGCTCCTAATTTGTGCAGAAAACGTACCAGCAATATTGAAGGAAGCAAAGAATCATGGGGCTCTACAAGGCATGAAAGTAGGACAGGGGCAATCTCCGTCACACCTTTCTTTGCGGATGATAGCCTTTTATTTTCAAGGGCAGCAAGAGAAAATGGGACAACTATAATGGAATGTCTTAAAGATTATGAATTCGCCTCAGGCCAAAAAATAAATCTCGCTAAATTGGCAATGGTCTTTAGCCCAGCCTGAGAATACCGCAATTATTAAAGAGGTTTTACAAATCCCTGTGGTGGTGGTGGTGGTGGTGGTCAGGAGAAACTATTATCTAAACCTGGAAAAGAAATTTTGATCAAGATGGTGGCACAAGCGGTACCAACATATGCAATGACTTGCTTCAAGCTGCAACATCTTTTGCAGGGACATAAACTGCATGTTGACCAGATTTTGGTGGGTAGACATAGAACCTTGGGTATCGTGGGAAAAAAAAATTCTCCAAAAACTGGGGTTTAGGTTTTTGAGACAAAGAAACATTCAACCTAGCCCCTATCTAAGCAAACTTGGCCACTTTCCTGAAATACAAACTCTTTACTATTCAAACTATTATAAGCATAAAATCATACGATTCGCGATTCGTACGATTCAATTTGATACAGGTACAAAACGATTCGTATCTTATATGAGAATCGTTTTAGAGTTGAATTGCACTTGAATCGTACGATTCGATTCGTATCGCACGAATCGCACAATTCAATCATTTTTTTTTAAAAACCCAATTTTTAGCAAGATAACGTCATTTTGTCAGTTAAGCAGTAAAACGATGCCGTTTTATTTGCAGAAGAACTCACACTCTAATAAAAACTTAATTTCTTTGCTCTTTCTCTCTTTGACATCGTCTAAAGCTCGTATTGCGTTGTCTAAACCTAAAGGTCACAACTAACACTCACGCATCATCAGTTGATTTTTTATCTCAATTCTTTTATGGGTAGTTTGTTAGGTTCCAATTTTTTGTTTCAAAATGTTGGACAGTATATTTTCTCCCTATCAATTTTTTTTTTTTTTCATTCATGTTTCTACCATAATCTATCCTGGGTGTCATTATTTTGGTTCTTAAATAGTCATAGTTCTTTAATGAATTTTTTTTTTCAAATTGTCGAATTTGAAAATAGTTAAGCAAAAGATGAAAATAAAGCAAAAGGCTAGCGTTTTTTCATTTAGACGACATGATTATGTCAATTGATTATTTTTAAAATGCAATAATATTCAATATTTTATCTATTTTAAATATGTAATATTGTTTTTTATTTTTGTTCAAATTTTATGTCGAATCTTATGATTCACGATTCTCAAATTTAGAATTCTGATTCATGATACGAATCGTGATTTGACAACTATGATTACAAGCTAAATAGCGGCAAGGAAGGTTTTGCACGCAGATACACAACGGCGGGTTGGTGACGGAACCAATATTAAGATGACTGATAAATGCATACCGAGGCCTATAACTCTTAAATTTATCAGTGCGCCCACTGGATTGGAGGATGATTTGTTGGTAAGTTCACTGGTAGAGAAGGATACAAGGGGTTGGAAACAAGATCTGATTAGAGATCATTTTCTGACATTCGAGACCAAGACAATCTTGAGCATTCCTATTAGTGGGCATTTTCTGCTGATAAAATGGTATGGCATTTCACTAAATCGGGCCTTCTCAAAGTTAAACATGCCTACCATCTGATTCTTGAACATGCACTATATGAGAAAACCCAAGATAATGGGATAGGAACCAGCAACCATAACAGAAGTACAGGAGCAGACATTTGGACTCAGAACATTCCAAACAAGAGAAAACACTTTGCATGGAGGACTTACCATGACATTCTCCCAACTCAGAAAAATCTACAGCAGAAACATATACCTGTGGAGAGTCTGTGTTTTCTATGTGGAGCGTCACCAGAGTTTATTAATCATTTATTTCGACACTTCTCTTTTCCAGACAGGTGTGGTGAGAAGCAGGATTGGAGATCTCTTGTCTTTCTGCTGCAAATTTCCAGGTGTGGCTCGATGCATAACTAACCAAGAAAGATGACATGCAGACCAATATGTTCCCATGAATTCTATGGACCATATGATACAACTGAAACAAGGAAAGGTTACAAGAAGAGACGAAATGCCCAAGGCAGTTGGTTGAATCCTCTAACTCTTATTATTTTTGAATTTTTTAGTGCACAAAGTTCAAGCATTCTTGAGACCTCATTACATCAAAAACATGGAAAGCCCAGGTGGTCTCCTCCACTCATGGGCTTTGTTAAAGTTAATTTTGATGGGGCAACATTTAATTTGATTTGGGGATCAGGAGTGGGAGTGGTAATAAGAGACAGCAACGGAAGTTTTTGGCAAGTTTAAGCCAGTGTTTTGAGTGTTCATTTAAACCAGGGCATGTTGAAGCTCACAACTGTTATGGCGATGAAATTTGCAACAACAGCTGGTTACAAGTGCATTGCATCATGCTTGAAGGGGATTCAAAGAATGTGAGTGAAGCCATTAGGAAAGATAAAGAATTAGAAAACTTATCAGAGATTGGCAATTATGTTGATGAAGTTTGTGCTCCTTCAAATGTGATCAATTCTTTCTAGATTTGCCAGATTCAAAGAGAGGGTAATTCATGTGCAAATTATTTGGCAAAATTTGTTATAAACTGTGAGGGACAGATTTGGATGGAAGTGGCACCTGAGTTCATACAACCTCTCCTCCAAAATGATGTACTCTTTCTGTGACATAATGAAATTCTATATATCATTTCCTAATCAAAAAAAAAAATTCAAATCATTTCTGAATATTACTAAATTTGCATAAACTAACTCAACTAATTGTAGAAGAAGACCTTCCCCAGAAAAAAATTCTTAAAACTGGTCACTTTTGTCAGACAAATTGTAAAAAACTTTCTCCCCACATTTCCCAATAATTCCCAAATGTTTCCCAAACCACAAATTAATGCAACATCTATCAATTTCGAACAGAAAAATTGGTACTATGCCCCATGTTCACAGTAGTGAAGCTAATCAAATTCAAAGCAATCACTCCAACATGAGAAATATAATACCAGAAAACATAATAGTTCTCTGATTATGTTCAAAAATAGTCTGCCATTACCAGAGTAATAACTTCAACTGTCTACAAAATTATTTGAGATCGCATCAAAATTGAAACTTGATAAAAAAAAAAAAATTTGAACAAACATAACCTAACACGTAGACAAAATTGCTTTGTTTGAGCAATGAAAAGGAATCACAAGAAACATGTATACGTATATATGCACACACAAATACATGTACATGTAGTTATACCTATTTTTGCTGCTGGAGGAGAAGAGCCTTAGAAGCTCAGTAACTCCACTAACTGCGATTTTCAAGAGCTGTGGCGTGGGCTTTTCTTTCTTCACGTTATTGGGTGCCCTGGAGTAGCAGCGGAAGCCATTAATTTTCTGCAAAAGCATCAGTTAGTGATAACCGACGAAATCAAATGTTTGAGGAAAGAGAATGAAAAATTCATCGATTCGAATTTCAAAAAAGTGAACAAACCCGGGCTTGCAGGATTGGTGAAGGTCCTGCATAGCAGCAGATTCCCGCCATATCATACAATGTCCGTCTATCTTCCTTTCTGTTTATCCGTGATTATGTCCCTGGTACCCCATCCCACTCCATTTCAGGAGCTGGGGGTGTCAATCTGAGATATGTCCGGTCATCGCGGGATTGCGTCGATTATTAGTCAATTTTAATATAATGTATTTAATTAATTTTATCGTATCAAATTGGTCGATTTATTTTCGTATTTATATTGATCCATATAATTGAATCAATTCCCATATTATTTTTATAAATAAAAAATTAATTTAATAAATATAATGATAATAAAAATATCTTTTTTATATAATAATTATGTCAATATTTTATAAACAGTAACAAATAATTAATATTTTATTTCTATAATATTAATTAATTTCATATTGTTCATGTTACCAGACAAATAAAAAAATAAAAAAAGTGTCAATTGTTAAATAAACGGATTGATTATGTTAATTTCGTGTTTGGCAGATTTAATCCAAACATGACTCGTTTATAATTCGTGTTCCCATGTCGGTTATTTTTGAGTTCGTGTCGAGTTATAATCGAGTTCAAGTCGAGTTTGAATCGTATTATCGTATTTAGTCAAAAATCGTCACCCTTAATTATTTGTGTTAATCGAAATGTGATTTTTCTATCCAAATTTATTGTTAATTTTAATGAAAATTCTCACGCGCACATGACACTTAAGTTATACCCTAATGTCTAATTCACGTGATGTGCACGTAAAGATATTCGTCAAAGTTAATTATAAATTTAGACAGAAGGGTCACATTGAGTCGAATTACATAATTTTGAGTCTAAATTAATACAAAATATAGTTGAAGAACTTGACACAAATAATATACTTCATGTGACTCCAATTTTTCAAATTAGTATCACATTGTAATGAACTTTGGAGTGCTTTAACAGCAAACTAACAAGGATTAATCACTAAGTATCCCAAAAAAAAAAGGATTAATCACTCTTTTAACTTTAATGTTATTTTCTCCAAATTCACTTTACATTATACCGTTTTCTAATAGCTAACATAGCTAGGAATCAAATTCAAGTTTCACAAAAGTATCTTTTTTTTGAGAAAGCACATGATACATATAACAGATGAAAAATTACAAAAACGAAGGATTATCCCCCTCCTTCTATAAGAGTTGGAAAAGTACAATTTATAACAAACCTAATTAAACAGCTAGTAACCTCATTTCCTTGTCCGCGAGTCTAAAAGAGTGAAAAGGAATCAAACTTGGCCACATAATCTTGAATTTGTTCCACAAAATTACCCATTTCTGATAAATCTCCATGCTTATTCTGAATGGCTTCAAGAACAACTTTGGAATCACCTTCAAGCACTATTTTCTCATAACCAAGATCACGCCTCATCTGCACAGCAGTGATAGTTGCTAGATCTTCCATGTTATTAGCACTTAATTGCCCAACAAATTTCTGACTGAATCTTGCTAGAAATTGTCCACTATTGTTACTTATAACAACACTTACACCTGAACACCCACAGGAAGCAAAAACAGCACCATTGAAATTAACTTTACAACATCCTACCGGTGGTGCCTTCCAAGAAGAATTCTGCAATTGATCAGATTGAACATGCGCACTTGAACCATAAAATCATATGGAATTAAACTGACAGAAATATTCTTTTGAGAATTCAACTTCTTCCAAAGGAGATCTTGAACACTCCTCTACTCTGAGTTCGTTTCTATTAAACCAAATGGACCAAGCCATAACAACAACCAAGGCAGCTTGTTCGTGCTATAAATTTTCTGAAATGAAAATAAGCCATTCTTGGATATTTGACACCCTTGTTTTGTGGAAATTGTATTCCATCCAAATCCCAAACAGCAATTGCAAAAGGACATTTTAAAAGCAGTGAAAGAATGATTCATAAGAGTCTCTAGATGTGTGTAAAACGATATGCTACCGCGACAAAATGTAAGACTATCGAGTTAGAATTCATAGGCTCTTGCTGCGAAATCAAAATGACAAGTTCAACAACACAAATAATAGCATTAAACAACACGAATAGAGTCAAAAAAGAATAATCAATCATAAAAATGACTGAAGTTTGTCATTTTCTAAATCTTAGACTTTTTACTTGGTTTTACAAGCATTTCGACTGCTTAAAAATTTTATTTAATGAAAAAAACAATACGTGATGAGTTTAATTCAAAGAATGGGTTCTTAATTGTGGATTCTTAGTTTTGAGTTATATCTTTTAACCACTGTATTATAGTCTTTTTTATCCATCTTTTGGATGTTCTATTATTCTCTTTGATGTTGGAGAAACTAATTACTGTGATGGAAAAGCTCCATTAATGCTCCACCTTTTAAAAATATTTACCATTGGCAAATCTATTGAGCTTTAGTAGTACTAGAAAAGCTTGGAACAAGCCCAATCTTAATAATCAGTTTTCTCCTATCTAGCAGGCATGTGAAATGGGTTCTATAGGTCACGTTATTTATAATTTGAAAGTCAAAAGACACCCAAGACAAGGTTAGCAGCACTCCTACGACGAATGAAAGATGGACATCTCTTAATTCAAAGAAGTCTTTGTATAACGACCTGGTATTCAGAGATTGAGAATAAGGACTGAAGTAGATATATACATGATTAGGGGTGCAAAAATTTTGTTACATTTCAAATTGAGGTTCAATTTGATGTCCAAAAATTAAATCGACAATTTTCTATAGTTTGATTTAATATATATATATATATATATATATATATATATATATATATATATATATATATATATATAATTTTAGAAAAAAAAATATTTTAATTAATTTTCAAAAATTAGTCAAGAAAATAAGAAATGATAAAATTGCCCTTAAGGTGACAAGTACCTCACAAGGCAACCTGTTGGTGGATGATGGAGGGGCCTCTTGTTGCATGGCATCCACAGAGGTTGCATGGAAGTTTGACTCAGCTTCAAGGGGGTATAAGAGAGGAAGAAAAATCCGGTTAGAGAGAGAAAGAGAGAGAAACGTCAAGAGAAAGAGAGAAAGAGAAGGAAAAGCTCAGAGAGAGAAATGTCAAGGTCAAAGCTTCAAGTTTTCATTGGAGATCGTCTCGAACAATCGAAGGTATAATCCTAGCCTAATATGGACGCTAGAAATCCATTTATGTGCTTTGTTTTTGAGTTGAGTTAGTTTAAATGCATGATTTATGGTTTTAAAGTTGATAATAGAGTAGATTTTCATGAAATGGGCCTTGGATTTAAGGATTTTGTTTTTTGTTGATTAGGTTGTGTTTTTAGGAGGTCAAGTAGTGGTAGGGTGGCTGTTTGGTAAGATATCGTGGTTGGTGGTGGTGTTGGAGTGGAGTTATAGAGGGTGAAACAAGAAAAGAATTGGTACTAGAGTGAGATGTACCGGTACAAAGCTGGGTTTTACCGGTACAACAAGTGATCTGTCAAGGGATGAACTGGTATAAAGGCATGCAGTACCGGTACAAGGCTCTCAGTGGTTTAATGAACCGACACAACTACAATGAGGAGTCAGTACACAATGAACCTATTCAACAGGAGCCAATTTTGTTCGTCTTGCCTTAGATGTCGATTCAACCTAATTTTTGAGGGACTTTTGACCTAACCAACTTAACATTCATTTTTAAATAATTATTTATGATATATATGTGAAATTTATGGAAAAATAACAATGTTCTATTTTTGGCAGTATCAGGTTATTTATTGTGACTGGTAGGGTTTCTCAATTTCAGAACAACAAAGCTTTTCAAACTCAATTTTAAATTATTTCATATGTTATTTATGATGTTTTAGCATATTTTGAAATATATAATTGGGTGTTTTGAATATTGACTTGGATCCGGACCCAGTTTGAAATTGTTGAGTGCAGTTTGCACTAAAGTTTGTATGGCTCATATTAATTGTATTATTGGAAATGATTGAAACTCCAAGATCCTTTTTAATTAAATGTAAGTGACCAACAGTTGAATGATGTAGGGTTTACGTTATAAGTTGAGGCCGTAGAGGGTTTCTCATTGAGTTCGTAAATGCCTAAGTAACCATGTTGGTCTTTGGACTTGGGTATCGAATTGATTCAACAAGTGTATCTTTCTTGGGGTGGAGGTCCCCTAAAAAGTTACATTTTTTTTGACCCTCAGTGGTCTGATAGGATGATCATCCACCGATGTAGCACTGTACTTATGTTATGATCGTTTTCGACTTAAATGTTTTCGCTCAATGTTTCCTACTCTCTTACTTATGTATGAAATGAACTATTTTGATATTGATCAATCATGTCAAATTAATAATTTTCAAACTCGCATACTTTGAAAATGAGTTACTCTATTAAACTATTGATGCTCACCTTATATTATTTCCCCTTTTTCATATTAGCAGGTGACGGAAAAGTTTGTGAAAGTTTGAACTACTTGTTTTCAATTTTTTATTCTATGTGTTGAATAATGTTCTTGAGTCATGTAATTTATAATAGGCTTGATATACACAAATGAAATGTAACAAGTGTATAACTAAGTCATATCATAGTTGTGTATAGTAAGTTGATATATTGAGATTAATAGCAAACACTGGTTATGTTTATAGAATTGGTATCAGAATTTACTCATTTTTTTTAGATTGTATCATTTAGTACCTATGAGGGTTATTAGCGCTCTGAATATTATGAAAATGGGTCGGGGTTTTATAGTTTGGTATCAAAAATATTAGATAACGTACTCGTGTGATGCGGGGCAATATCAGATCGGGGTTTTACACTCCGTCTTTCTATGAAGTATATCTAGGATTCAAAAGACTTCCCCATGAGGAGAGTCATTCTCGCCATTCAAGAAGTCATACTCCAACCAAAAAGAGAGTCCTTAAAAGATAAGGGGGGCTAGACTCCTCAAATAAAAGGAGACTTAATTTCCCAAAATAAAATTAGGAGCCTAGAGCCTAGGGGAAGATAAAAGGTACAAAACATCAGTCCTTGCACATACCTTTAAATCCCTTCCAACAAATATTAACTTAAGCATTAGAGGGTCGACCCTCGGAGCTCTCCCTCTGGTCTTCGACTTTCCTTTCAGGTCTTCTAGCTTGTGAAATCTTCACTTGAAGTTCTAGAGAGCTAA